ACCATCAAGTGCCAACGAAAAGTCTTCAGCTGACGACAACTTTGATCCATTTGACACATCTATTGCTGAAAGTTTTGGAAAGACTGAACTCAAGGCTCTTGAAAATGAACTTTTGTCTTCCCAAAACACAGCTCAAGAAGTAAAGCAAGTTCCTGGAGAAAAGAAACCCGAGGACAGAGCCCTTGATCTTCCAATCAAACCTCTTCGTCCACCATCCCCGTTCGTTGCTCTTAGCTGCTACACCCCTTGACGAAAACCCAACACTCCAGCCTGTATTACAACCGTCAGCAGATGCCCACCTTCAGTAGCAGACGACTTTGATCCCTTTGATACGTCTATTGCTGACCAGTTTGGTAAGACTGAATTGAAGGTACTTGAAAGTGAACTTCTTGTGAGTGGCTCATCCGAAAAAGTTGCAGAGGACAATAGCTTTGACCCTCGAGCAGTAGAAGCTCCGGCAAAGCCATCGAGACCTTCAAGACCGCCGTCCCCAGCTCGTCCTCAGTGTCTCCTGACTGCTTCTCCCTCACCAACAGGTGCTCCCCCTAGTTTGGAGCTTTTAGCACCAACAGAAACAAAACCCAACGCTCCAGAGGCCGACTTTGACCCATTTGATACCTCAATTGCCGACAAATTTGGTAAGACTGAACTCAAGTATTTCGAAAGCGAGTTGCTTGACACGGCACCGGCTTCAGGTCCTGATCCGTTTGACGAGTTTGACCCCAGGGCCGAAGAAACTAAATCAAAGGTACCCCAGAGACCTCCTAAGCCAACCAGGCCTCCAGTGCCCCCAGCTCCCTGTCTTCTTGCAACCACTCCAACAGACATCAGTGCTCCCTTGCAGCCCTGCATAGAACCAAGTCAGGAGCCCAAGGAGGCAGCAACTGCAGAAGAGGAGTTTGATCCTTTCGATACCTCCATTGCAGACAAGCTTGGCAGAACTGAAATAAAGTTCCTAGAAGAAAGTCTTCTTTCCAAGGAAGAAAGTCAGGTTGAAGCTAAGCCCCAGGCATTCGTTCCTCGTGTAGAGAATACCACTACCGCTGCTCTGCCTGAAGCAAGTGAAGCTCCCTCTGTAACAGCTGATCATTTCCTTTCATCTTCTCCTACTGAGGACCTCAGACCTACTCTTCAGCCAACATCAAGTGTGACAGAAGAGTCTGCGAAAGAGTTTGATCCATTTGACACTTCCATTGCAGACCAGTTTGGTAAGGCTGAACTAAAGACACTTGAGAGTGAACTTCTTACAGATTCGGGTGTTAAAAGGAATTTAAGTGACGACGAATTTGACCCACGTCAAGAGGAAGCAAAGGCTCCAAAGCGACCTCCACTTCCCCCTCAGAAACCCGCAACACCCGTCAACTTGTTAGATTCCACTGACGACCATAACTTACCTGATCAACCAATCCAGGTTCTCCAGGCACAGTCAGCAAAAAGCCCTGAAATTGGGGACGATTTCGACCCATTCGATACCTCAATAGCTGCTGATATTGGACCAAGCAAAGCTGAACTGAAATATCTTGAGACAGAGCTCTTAAGTGCAACTAAAGATCCATTTGATACTTCAGAGGCATAGGCTGTGACTTTAAATTTAGAAGCAAGTTATAATATATAATATCAAGATGGATTTCACAGGGAACGTGAAGAATCCTTTCCTCTTCGATGACCCTGCACCACCTGCTGATGTAGGTGATGCAGCGGCAAATCCTTTCCTCAATGGTGGTCCCTTCGACTACTCAGCCACCTCATATACAGGAATTAACCCCTTCAGTGACCAGATTGATGATTCTAATGCTGCTGGGATCTTCGGGGACCCAATGGCTTATCCTACCGACATGAATCCATTTGGAACAATTCCAGATGCCTCACAGCCATTCGGTGCAGTGGAACCACAGCCACAGGCAGAGCTCTTCGGAGGGCAGTGCCACCCATGAACCAGGTGTCGGCGATCTTTTTGGTGAGCCCATGGTTCCAGCTGCTGCTCCGGCAGTGTCTCACCATGCATCGGCACCCCCACCCGTGCCCCCAGCCCCCCACCACCCGCCAGTTCCACCACATCCCTCGGTTCCTCCTGCAAGACCACAGCCACCAGCTTCAGTTGCTTCCCCCGTTATTGACCTTATGAGCGATGGCCCAGTGATGGAGGAACCTCATGCAGCACCAGGAAGACCTCCACCTCCCAGACCACCTCCCCCTTCAAAGGAAACAAAGGACCTTTTGCAGACTGTCATAGGAGCTATGGAAGCTACAACAGACACATTGCACGAAAAACTAAATACAACAAGAACACCGTGTCCTTCCCGGAGAGTGCTGTTGCTAATACTCCAAGTCCCACACCTGACATACAAGTCACAGAACCTGAGAAGGAACCAGACTCATTTAGCGCAATATTTGGTCAGACCATCGATGAGAGTGACCATGAGATGGAGGAACCCAAGACCATGGTCGATGCACCGCCAGCACCGGAAACAAGCACTACATCAGAGGACATTGATCTCTTTGGTGATATGCCATCTCAAAAGCCGAAAACTAAACAGGATATTCTAAGTCTATTCAACAAACCCCAGGCTCAAACTACATCACAAGTTGATTTGTTGTCAGGCGACCTTTTGACTGAGGGCATCACTGCAGAGGATGGCGAAACTACCACGCAGTGAAACCTGTAGAAGGAGCCATTGTAGAAACACACAGGATGCTCAACCTATTGACCTATTAGCAGGAGACGATATTAGTGAAACAGTTGCTCCACCTGCCAGTACTGCTGTAAGTAAGGAAGCCGCTCCCAGTGAGGCACCAGCGGGAACTACCCATATGGAAGCTCAGAGTGAGGCAGTAGTCATCGAAGAATCTGTGTCTCCTGAACAGATGAGTGAACAGACTGACAGTGAACCGACTGTGATTGAAACCAACCTGCAAGGAGCCGCTGAAGAGGCTAACAAGATGTCTATCCTTGAAGGTGAGGCTCAGGATTCGCTTCCATGAATGAAGAAAAGGTTGAAGAGGTGTTTTGGATCGCCTGAGCCTATCCCTCCTGCGATAAACAGTAGCCAGATAGAGCCATCAGAACTACCAGTAAAACAGATGCTTCAGAAACACCAAGTCAAGGAGAAATGTCCACTGAAGCTGTAAAGGAACCACAAGCGGAAGATGAAACTTACCAAGAGTAAAGCAGAAGTAGATGAGGTTATTGGAATTCCATCTTCCACAGCAGAGCAAACAGATGCTTTTGGGGATGTTAATGCCCTAGATGCATTCAGCGCTCCCCTGAAGCAGACCAAGGGGCTGCCCTCTTTGGAGATGCTACGGGTGCCTTCCCCAGTTCCTCTGGCGACGCACTGTTTGGGGACTTCTCAGGGTGTTTCCCGCCGGTTCAGCAGCCAGTCTCTTTGGCGACGTCTCACAAACAGTCCCACCAGCATCCCCTGCTGCCAGCCTCTTTGGCGATGTGACCACTGCGCCTCCTGCATCTCCAGCCACCAGTCTCTTTGGTGATGTGCCTCAGTCAGTACCGCCAGCCTCGCCAGCTGCCGATCTTTTCGGAGATGCCCCTAAGGCTGTGCCTCCTCCTTCCCCTGCGGTGGGATTGTTTGGGGACGTCCCAGCCAGTGGGTACCGGATCTTCAGGGTTTGACATCTTTGATGGCGAGTCAGCCAAGGTTGCACCGGCGCCTTCAGGAGCAGACTCGACAGGTGCTGCTCTCTTCGGGACGGCAACTCCTGCACCCAATGTTGGCATGAGCCTCTTCGGAGCTGGAAACGAACCTACTCTAGACATCTTCGCCGAAAGTGAAGGCAACACAATGGTCAACCCCTTCGCCCCCGCCCCTGCTGCACCTGCAGCTGCTCCAACAGTGACAGCAGCAGGTGTGAAAGTTGCAACCGATGAAGAATTCGACGCCTTTTCAGCAAGGTTTGACAAGGTCGCTGTAGACGAGTCAGATGAGCTTCACGTCGATCCATTTGCCACCACGGTGCGAGGTAAGTGTGGTCTCTCTTTCTCCCTTTCGGAACAATAAGAGGTAAAGCATATGTGAAATGGAATATTAACATGGACTCCACTTCCGTACCACATCAGGCATTTTATACGGATATTTTGACATGCATTGCAACATTTCTAATCAACTGCCGATCGCAGAAATGACTACAACCCTCTCTCCCGCAGCTGCTTCCCCATGGGGAGACACCGGCGAGTCGGGCGGCGCGGCGGCCGAAGGCTTCGGCTTCGGTGACTCCGGCGGCTTCGACTCGTTCCTTGCCATGAAGAGCCGCCTCCGGTCCCGCAGTCGACGCCGCGCAGAGCCGCTCGCCAGACCTCGCGACTCCGACGACGAGCCCATGACTGTCGTGATAAAGTGCGTCCTGGGATGTAGAGCAGGGCTGGTCGCAATGACGCTTTCTTGACAATATCACAGTGATCTTGAGTGTCATTATTACCTTAGCAATTGCCATCCTAACAAGACCTCATTCATTCATGGCATAAAAATAACAAGTCCTGCCGTCGTTCAGACTCCCTCACGACCCTTTTTCTCCGATCCAGGCCGGCTGCCCTGGACGCGGGCGCAGTGTCTCCGAGGGGCGTCTCACCCGTGCCCGTCCTCGGCCGCCGCCCGCAGTCGCCGCCAACGCCGCCTTCACCGACACCACGCCCAGGTTCAACCCGTTCGACCGCGGACCCGAGGACATCGCTGAGGCGGCTGTGGATGCTTCGGGTAACGCACTCGATCTGTCTGTCTATCTGTCTTTATGTCTCTGTTTGTCTCTGTCGGTCTGTCTGTCTCCCTCTCTCTTTTCTCTCTCTTCTTTCTCTCTTCTCTCTCTCGTCCTCTTTCTTCTCTCTCATCTCTTCTCTCTCTCATCTCTCTCTCTCTCTCTCTCTCTCTCTCTCTCTCTTCTCTCTCTCTCTCTCTCTCTCTCTCTCTCTCCTCTCTCTCTCCTCTCTCTCTCTCTCTCTCTCTTATCCTCTCTCTCTCCTATCTATTTATCTCTCTATCTTCTATCTATCTTTCTATCTATCTCTCTATCTACCCATATATCTATCTCTCTGCTGCTATTCTCTCTCTATCTATCTCTCTGCCTGCTTTTCTCTATCTATCTCTCATCCTGCTATTCTGTCTCTCTTCTTTCTCTGCTATTCTTCTTATCTATCTGTCCTGTTTACTGTTGTCTTCTCTCTCTCATCTGTCTGTCTGTCCTCTCTTTGTCTGTCTATCTATCTGTCTGTCTGTCCTCTCTCCTCTCTCTCTCTCTCTCTCTCTCATCTCTCTCTCTCTCTCTCTCTCTTCTCTCTTCTCCTCTCTCTCTCTCTCTCTCTCTCTCTTC